GGATACTGGGCTAGATGGACCTTTGGTCTGACCCAGTACGGCCTTTCTTATGTTTTATGTTTAGCAGCACTAAATCCATGCAAAATAGGAGGGAGGTAAATGCTGCCCTGCAAGGGAAAGCACCTATATAATTAGCTGTTGTCGTCTGCTGTACTTCTCTGCCGCACTTTAAAACATTCTTCCATGCTGAAAGTAACTGTAAAAGGTCAGTTGTTAAAACCCAGCAGAGGGAGAGGGGTTTGAACCCCTTAGTTAATGGTTCTGAAATCCTTCAGCAGTGAGTCGGGGGTGGGGATGGGGAGTAGTTAGGAACGATGATAGCTGTAGATATGAGAACTGATGACTATAGGAAACAATCAACAGTGGAACCTACTGTGGCTTCTCCTTTTTTTTTCCTCACCTATTTAGTATTTGAGCTAGAAAAATTTTTTGGGAAGCTCAAAAAATTCTAACTTATTTCTGGAGATCGCCTAAAAGATTGGATGGGGGGAATTTGTGAAAACATCCTTGACGTTTTTCTTTTTTCTTTATTGAAATTGTGACAAATCTTTATCAAACTTGAAATTTAGAAAACTTTAGTCAGCTCTACTCATCTCCTAAGAGAGATGCACAATCTCCATAGTTCTGAATCATTTCTCTGTTATTGAGACACAGTTAACATTAGGAAGAGGAAAGGACATTGTTTGCACAACCTGCTTATGGGAGACCTGCTGGATACATCAAATCTTGTTCACTTGTGTAGATATAAAACAGACATACATTGGAGTGGGAGAAACCCTATCCATAGGAACCCTAATACTGCCTAAGCAATTCCCCTGAAGTCATACAGGGGATGTCTACACAGCAAAGAAAACTCCACAGCTGGCCCGAGCCAGTCAACTCATGCTCGTGGGGTTTGGGCTGCAGGGCTATTTCATTGCTATGTAGACTTCTGGCCTCAGGCTTGAGCCCAAGTTCTGGGACCCTCCCATCCTGTAGGGTCCTCCAGCCCGAGCCCAGAAGTCTACTCAGCAGTGGAATAGCCCCACAGCCAAGCCCAGTGAGTCTGAGTCAGCCAGCGCAAGCCATCTGCAGGTTTTTCTTTGCTGTGTAGAGATGGAGCTGGGGATTGAATCCAGACTTCCAGAGTCTTAGTCCAGTGAAAAACCATCCTACCCCTCTGTCACCCTCCTGTACAGACTAGATCAGGTTTGTACACAACTTGGATACTACTTGTCCTTCTCAAGAGAATATAGTAAATACATTGCAAGTAAAAATAAGGGGATCACCTGTAAGTTTAGTGTACAATAAAGATTAAATGTAGCTTACTAATTAACATGGTAAATGCTAAAAGAAGTAACCCAGTGTGATTGCCCCAGGCAGCACCGAAATACCAGAGTTTATTAAGCACAATGCCACATTGCTGTGTTCATAAACCCCCAAGCGCTGTACCAGAGACATGACTGTTTCCAAATAAATATTAAACATTCGTCTCAAGTATATGTAACCTCCTAAAGCCCTCTCAAAGGTTTTATTCTCTTGGGCTCTCCTCCTCCTCCAAATCTTCTCCTCTCGGTGCCCCCTTCTCCCAAACATGATGAATTAAAAACAAGCAGGGGATTTTTTTAAAGGGTCCTAAAGAACTTAAGCACTCATCTCCCACTGATTTAAGGTGCCTTGGAACTCTCTAAAGATCCTAGTCTAAAGGCTGCAGGTGATCCATTGTTGCAAGCAGAATCCAGGCCAAAGCTTATGAGTCCTTGTATTACTGAGTGGGAGGTAGAACAAAAAGCCAGTCAATTAAGAAATAAAATCTCACAACAGTATTCTAGCACTCTGAGGCAATGCGGCCCCTTCAGGCATAAGGCCAAGTGAAAGTAGCATAGCTGGAAAAAGCCTGCTGTTGAAGGCTAGATTCAAGTCCTCAGCAGGGAAGGATGTGGTAAGGTCACATTTTCCATGTGTTGAGCTTCTCAGTAATGAGAGAATTGCTTGTACATAGCTGTTTCTTATAGGAAATTATCAGCCTTGGCTCCATGCGTAACAGGCTGAAGTGTGTTGGCAAACCTCTCCGTCATTAACCTTGCCCTTTGTTTGTCAGGAAACTAGTGAAGAATCTCATTGTGACTGTTGGAGAACATAACCTCAGAAAGGCAGACGAGCAAGAACAGAACATTCCTGTCTCACAAGTCATTGTTCACCCTGACTTCAACAGACTTGGCTACATGCATTCTGATATCGCTCTGCTATATCTGAAATACAGAGTAAAGTACGGTAAGGGAGGAGACTGAGTGAAAGTGCTTCAGAGCAGATCCTTCACTATATATAACTTGCTAGTTTAGAGCAACCTTTTATTCTCCTATCTCTCTGTAATGCTCTTTCCAGCATATAAAACACCCTCCTGATAGTGTCTTTACTCCTGCCCAAGTAGGTTACCCATGCTAAATCCAATCTAGTCTTAGTGACCTTGTCCAAATAATTGTCCCTCAAGTCAAGTCTGTGTTCTGGGGCTTCTCATGTTTTGTTCATACTACTGATCTTTCCAACACTAGAGAGCACAAAAAGTCAAATTGTCTTCCGTTTGTAGTAATTCTATATTTTCTTTACCTCTCGGAAAGTTCTCTCCTCGCTAATTAGCTTGCTCCTCTTGTCCGCTTCATTCAGCACCACCAGTCTCCACTGTTTGTGATAGTGGAACTTTTCACTGTAGGAAGAGATGTGATGCCACAAACAGCAGATTGTTCCATCATTGAATGGATCTGGCAAAATGAGAAGATGGCTTAAGTTTGAATGCACATCACCCTGTTTTAAACACACATAATCCAGTATCTGTCATAGTGGCAAAGGTGAACACAAGGCTTTCTGGAGTGTGGCTTTTTGCATATAGATTCATAGAAGGCCAGGAGACCACATGGGATACATAGATCCTTTCACTGCTTTATCAAATCCCATCCAAGTCGGCTGTGATTAGCTACCTGATGGTAACAATTCCAATCAGTGGCTCTTCTAAAATGACTTTGGTCTTAATCTAGCTCCCAGTGGACAGGTGGCTGCATCACAAAATCATTGTGATAAATGGCACTAAAGTCACACCTGTTTGCTGCTCTGAGTGGAGGGGATTGAATGGGTATGGAAAACCAAACTACGCTTGTTAGCCAGGAAGTGATCGGTTAAGGGTTGAGGCCTGTTGACGGGGCAGTGAGAGGAAGCTTGCTTTACTACTACCTATGTACCTATTTTGTGGATAAAGAAACTTAAGTCTCCAGTCATAATGCTTGAAAACAGCTTTTGAGTCATCTGGATGATCCCTCCAGGAGAAGGTGGGCCTTCAGGTCTTCTACACTGGTAAGTGTTCTTTAAGGTTTGTCAATAAATTAATTAGGCCATGATAAGTCAAGTAGCTTTGATCCCTTTCTCCTCTGATCCCCAAAAAGAAACCTACAAAGGTATTCGCCTAGTTCGAGAACAGAGCTGAGCATTTGAGTTTTGAATGTCCTGTGTAAATCAGAACTCCACTTCTTTTGACACATGGTCAGCATTTTTGTGTTCAGAGAATAGAATGCTCAACAGGATCTACAACTGGACACGATTGCAGGCTGTATGAGAATTGTACATAGGACAGTTCTCTTTTCTGTCCTTCATGCTGTTGCTCCTTTTCCCTCCCTCCCCTGCCCCCGGGTCTCTTTCCTCTAGTCTTGTTCTTGCTGCTTACGTTTCACTTGAATATGGCCGGCCAAAACATTGTTCACATTTTTTTCTCTAAAACAATGTGATGTCTCAAGATTACCTCAATTTAAAAGTGATTGACTTGACTTATTTTTAGCTGTTTGATTGAATTGCTTTAGAAAAATGTATAGTTCAAAGGACCTTGATCCATTCTGTTCACACAAAGGACATTGTTGCTTTTATCTGGTTGGTGCAGAGAGAATCACTTCTGAACAGCCTGGAGTTGATGTACTCACATTTGTGTGCACTTTCCTTCTTAGGACCTAGGGTTCAGCCAATTTGCCTTCCCCACAAAGATGATAAATTTGAGGCCGGGACTCTTTGTGTTGCTAGTGGCTGGGGCAGAGTGTCTGAGGGTAAGTAAAATGTCAGGTTCTTACGATGACAACATTGATGTGGGGTAATGAGATAAAGAAAAGGGAGCCGCCTTGTTTCTGCAACAGAAATGCAACATCTGCCAAAGGGAAAAGCCAATCAGTGGTTCTCTCTTTTGCTGATACCATGACGAACCATCCTATGCTCTGGAGGTCTCTTCCAGACATGATGTGCAAAGGACCAGTGTGCCAGAAGCACTGTCCTAGGCAGAGCCTTGGAATCTCCATACCTGTTACTTTGCAGCGCCATAGCGCTATTCCGCCACCCATCACGCCACTTTTTGTAAACAAATAATTAAGCTCCATAACACCCTTGTGAAGTAGAGAAGTATCCTCCTCTCCCCTCGCCCCATCCCAATCATGTGGATGGCGAAACTGAAGCACAAAGATGATTTGGTGAAGGGCTAGATATAAAACCCAATCTTCTGATGCCCAAGTTCCATGATCTAGTTGTAATCTTTGTGCATTACATAACCTCTAGATGATGCATCTCTGCCTTCTTCCCATTATATATCTTAAAAAAAACCTAGGATCACTTGGGCCTTAATGTTCTCTTAACAGTTTGTGTGTGTAAATTATTAAGGTTGCAAAGTCAAGCACTCAAAAATTAATCAATGCTAGAAGTAAGGTTGCTTGTGCATAGCATTATGTAGCCCATTATATGTTCAAAGCAAAAATCCCATAGACTTTGCTGCAGCACAGAGAAACAGGCCTTCTGATCTCAATTTCAGTGCCCAGAATCAACCGTACTCAGGCCAGTTCTAATGGTGAGTGAGCAGGGCTGTCATCCTGGGGGCCAACTACCAGGGGGTTCTGTACCAGTGTGCTGTTTGGCTCTTTTTTGCTCCATTCTCCTTGGCTGGCCATTTTTGTTCTGCTGATTGCCTGGCCTTTTTTTGACTCTGCTGCTTGGGAGCACCAGAAACATTTTCCATCCTGGACGGCAAAATGGGTAGGGCTGCAACTGCCCCTACCTGAATCAGCCATTACAGGAAATGTCCTTCTGCGCCCGCATAGCCCTGGGCTGGAGGGAACATGCTCAGTCACTGTGCATGCATAATCCAGTTGCATGGAGAAATTGTGAGGGGATGGAGGATGCAATCATCAGAAAGTTTATGTGGAGAAATAAAAAAATAAAAAGAAGTCTCAACTGAGCATTTGGAAGCTGCAGTTCTCCCCCCCCCCTCCCCTCAAGACTGCCTAAATTTGTTATAAGACTTTCATGAGGACAGTAAAAGGCACATCCCTGACACCAAGGCCACCCCCCTGCTAAATTACAGGTCCCTGCTCCAAAGCTGGGACCACCAGAGCAGTTAAGAGAAAATGTTACTAGAATGATTTTACCTGGGAAAATCAGTCGTACTTTCTCCCCCCCCCCCCCCCCCCCCACGCCTTGTTTGTGGATATGGTCGAACCATTTCGGCTGAAACTTTACCTCAGGCTGAATTGTTTCCACCAACGTGGAAAATGTTAGCTCAAAGGGTTCTAGTTTGGCGAAATTATACAAACCTGAAAACAAGGCCTGTTAACGAGAGGTCTCAGCTAATCGAAATAAGGGGCGGCATTGCCAGCCCTGCCTGTGTAATACTGAATGAAATCATGGTAGCTAGGATGTGGCCATAGATCTGCAGCGTAACTTCCTGCTCTGTGCCGCAAGGAGGGGGGTTCTAGAATGTCTGATGTTGCCGGTTTCCTTCCTTCTGCAGCTGGTGAACTATCTAATGTTCTACAGGAGGTGGAGCTCCCCATCATTGATAGGGGAACCTGCAGTGCCCTGTTAAAGCAAATGAATCTGCCTCCAGTAGCAAGCTCCATGCTGTGTGCTGGCTTTCCTGATGGTGGGAAGGATGCTTGCAAGGTAAAAGGTCATCATTCCGCAGGGTCTTCCTGTATAGTGAGTTCTGCAAATGGAGGCAGACTCCAATCCTTCCCACCAGCCACTCCTGTATTCTTGCTTACCAGAATGGCCACCTGCCCTAAAGAGGGAAGGGAGGAGGAGGAAGGAAAGGAAACTTGTCCATTACTACTAGCACATTGCTACTGAACTGAGGCCTTAAAAGGAGCTTTAGGCTAATGAAGGCCTTGTCTGTCCTAGCCTTTGGGGGGAATTTTCCCACTGGTAGGAGTGCTGCTATAGACAAGGAACTGGTGTGTTTAACCACCTTTTCGTCTAGACTTGGCCTGAATAGCATTAAATGACATGGTGAATGATGTGCCTGAGCCCTGTCTAAGCTACTGTTGCTACCACTGGTGAAATTGCACAGATGGGAGCACAGTGGCGGCAGGCGGCCCAAGAGGCTACAGGAGACACAGCCTAAGGGGTACGTGATACCACTGTACTGGGAAAGAGGAGGCTGAAGTGAGTGGTTTTGTTTTTTTGTTTTTGCCTTCTCTTTAGGCTTTAACATACCTTGACCATTTCTACTTGGTGTATTCGTTTCTCTTGTAGTCACCTCTCCTCCCCATATCTCTCAAGCTGCTGGCAGCTGTGTCCATCAGAACACCAGCCTTTCCCATGCTTTCTCTGGTAGAAGGGTGCTTCTACTGCCAGGAGACCAAGTCATTCCCCCCCCCCCCCACCTGCAGTGCACACACAGTCCACTGTGCTACCATTGCGGGAGGGCCAGGTGTAGTCCGCTGGTTGAGGTACTGCTGCAATGCGGACGTTAACATCTTAGTGCGAAGGGGCCAGAAATGGTTAACAGATGTATAGTGACGCTGAACCTTTCTGTCAATCTTCCAAAGAGCAGCAGCTTCTTCTCTGAGAGGTGAAACCATGAGGTGATTCACTGAATCTGTATCGTTGCATTTGAACAAATATCTGCTCTTTTTTTCCTGTCTCCTCCCCCAACCCGTGCTGGGCAAGGGCGATTCTGGAGGTCCTCTCGTGTGTAGAAGAGCCAGTGGCATCTGGACTCTGGCCGGCGTCACATCATGGGGAGTTGGCTGTGCAAGAGGCTGGAATGTCCTTGAGAAAAGCATCAATGAAAGGGGTTCCCCGGGCATCTTTTCCAATGTAGCTGAACTGATGGACTTCATCACCCAGAACATTATCCCTGGTGGGTACATTTACCAGCAATTTTTCTCTTTTCCTGCTTGTTTATCATGAGGTTCTAGAAGATACCTGCCATGTGCCCCACGGTTAGGCTCTAGAGTGTTTCCATCAAGGTGCACACAGTGTGAAGCATTTCTCATTTTAGAGCAGGAAGTGGGGAAATGAAGGTTAAACCAGAACTACCACCTCTCTTGGAACAGCATCTGTATCTAGGTCCCTCTGCCGTAATGCTTTGAGGGCAGCTTTGATCCACATGCCCCACTAAATGGAATGTTGATGGCCAATCCAGCTAGCATTTCTGGGTGCATGTGGTTTTGTTGATTTAGAGAAGCACTTCTCTGGCCTAGAAAACTTGTCCAGTTCCAATAAATTACATTTTCTAATCCTTGTCAACTGGGAATCTGTAAATTGCTATTGTAGAATCCCTGAAATGGTCCACACTATTGATTTGGAGCAAATATGACTTTAAACACACACACGAAGCAGATCTGTGGAATAAGCTTGCTTTTTTTTTTTGATTATCAGAACTACACTTTTAAAGCTATAAACAGATCTATGAATTCCCTATAGTCCGACCATACACTTAAAACTGCAGTTTAAATAGAACCTATGGAATAGAGGGAATTATTTATGACCTATGCTTCACCTGTGCTATTACTTATTTGCCACAATATCTTGTTGGGGCTGATCTCCTCATAAAGGGAAGAACTAATCTGCAACCATACAGTGCCTCTTACTCTGGAATAATATTAAGTGGAATCAGAATAAAAAATGTTCACTTGAACCCTGCAGAGCAGAACTTGGAAGATTCCTGCAACTCAAACTACGAGCACAGTTGGAGAATGAGCAGAATTAAACTGTAAACCGTAGAAATAGCATTAATAAAATAGTGCATTTAGCGCCTCAACTGGAGTAAATCTGTGTAGCTCTATTGACTTTGATTCACACTTGCAAAGGATTTTGGCTCATTTAGAAGTAGGACTCTAAGGGCAGGCCTACACCTAAAAGGCTGCACTAATGCAGCTGCGCCGCTGTAGTACTTAAGATGATCCTATGCGTCTCCCGTCAGTGTAATTAATCCACCTCCCCAAGAGGCAGTAGCTATGTTGATGAGAGAAGCTCTCCACAAACATAGCATTGAGAACATCAAGGATTAGATCGGTATAATGACGTCACTCGGGGTTGTGGATTTTTCCCACCCCTGAGCGACAGTTATACCGATATTAGTCTCTAGTGTTGACCTGCCCTCAGAAGAAGTGTGGTTACCACCTAAGACCCATCTCTGGGTCTTTCTCAAGCACTCAGGGTGTGAAGTGGCATTAATCGAATGGCTTCACGAACTGTAGACATGCCTCTCCCAAACAATGCCCGTGTCAGAATTGTATTTTACCTATTGCTCTTCTCTTTCTAGCTGCAGAGCCAGATCACCTTCCCCCGCACTTTCCTGAAGGATGCAGCTCCCATGGAATGCTGGTCTTTGGAGAAAGTGGCCGTATTCAGTATCCCCAACCCAGTGAGAGTAACTACCTAGATAACAGGTATTCACTGTACATCATCAAAAACACCTGCCCTTTTGTGAAGGGCCACTTTTCAGAGGGCATTTTGTTTGTGTCTGTAAGGTCAGAAGGGGTGACTATCTCCTCTGACCACATGCATTGCTCTAGCCATATGACTTCAGCCTGCAAATACATGAATTCTTACTCCTGACTTAGTCAGTGAACACAATCAAGTCAATAGTTTGTGGCTGAACTTGTGGGTATGTATCAACCTTAAAAATTAGTATCTAGAGTTAAACATCTCTGTGGTGATGTTTGCTTGTGTGGGATTGGTACTGGGCAACAATAGTTACCCAGAAATAGCACGTTAGAATGAGAAGCACAACTCTTGTTGGTCTAGTTCTTATATGAACTGTGCTCGTAAAATTGATGCCCTTGGATTAAGCCTGTAAATTAGCTTAATATTAAAATTCTTAAACTGTTCTAATGTCAGGTTCTGCAACCAGTGAAGTCTTTAGGACTTTCAGTGGGAACAGATCCATCCCTTAATGTCTTCTGAAGATGCTTGAGAGCTGGAGATGTGCCAAAAGAAACCTCCAGAGGAGATGTGCCTATTACAGATCCTACTGGCCTGGCCTAACAAGGAGATGCCATTTTGTCTCTATTACTGGTGCCTATCCACAGTAGGATAAAAGGTGGTTTTGTTTTCAAAATGTGTGAACTCCAGTATATACCTGGCAAGTTGTTCTTTAACATGTTCATGGGTTGAATAAAGAACTTGTTCTGTATACTCTAAAGCAGGGGTCGGCTACCTTTCAGAAGTAGTGTGCCGAGTCTTCATTTATTCACTCTAATGTAAGGTTTCATGTGCCAGTCATACATTAACATTTTTAGAAGATCTTTCTATGAGTCTATAATATATAACTAAACTATTGTTGCATGTAAAGTAAATAAGGTTTTTAAAATGTTTAAGAAACTTCATTTAAAATTAAATTAAAATGCAGAGCCCCATGGACTGGTGGCCAGGACCCAGGCACTGTGAGTGCCACTGAAAATCCACTTGTGTGCTGCCTTTGGCATGTGTGCCATAGGTTGCCTACCCCTGCTCTAAAGTTTTGAGTTGTTTGCTAACAGATATTAAAAGATCATGTTTTGTCCTAATGCGGATATGCCCTGTAGGTCCCTGTATAAGTTTTAGCTGTGCAATGTGGAGGTTGTGCATAGAATGGGCCAAATTCAGTGCCAGAATAACTATTGACTTGACTGGATTTATCCTGGGCATGAATTTAGCCCAGTAAGCCCAGTCACTGGTTGGGGAATGCTAATGGTTAAGGTCTCAGTAACACTGGCCATAGGCGCCGACTTCCCTTCTTTCTAGTGGGTGCTCGGCCCCACCCCCACACCACCCCTTCCATGAGGCTCTGCCCCGATTCCAACTCCTTCCCCAAATCCCCACCCCGGTCCCATCTCCTCCCCTGAGTGTGCCACATTCCCACTCCTCCCCCTCCCTCCTGGAGCGTGCTAATGCTGCCAAACAGCGGCCGAGCGGGAAGCGTTGGAAGGTAGGCAGAGGAGCAGGGACACGGCGCACTTAGGGGAAGAGGAGAAGGTGGGGCGGGGGTGAGGGGAGCTTGGCTGCCAGTGGGTGCAGAGCACCCACTAATTTTTCCCTGTGGATGCTCCTGCCCCGGAGCACCCACAGTGTCGGCGCCTATGACACTGGCCATAAGCTGGTAGAGGCTTTTGCATGTGTGAGTATTTTCCTGGCTTCCTCTCTTGCCATGTATTGCCTGGGGACACAATCCATTTGGCAGCACATCACTGATCCAAAGTCTGAGCACAAAGGAGAGAACTGACGGTTCTCTCTTGCAATAAAGCACTTTGTGTTGTGCTAACCACTATTAAAAACCCAGCATATGTTTCTTATTACTTCGTAGCTGGTGCTGGTGACATCCTAGCTTGAGCTGATCTGGCTATGACTGTGAGCTGATGGATATAGGGTTGTAAATGCGCACACACCTGGTTTAATCCATGCATTCTACATTCTCCATCCGTAGATGGAGAAAGAGTATTGTCAACCATCTGAATTTCCCTACATTAGAGTTGTGGAAACACATCTGGAGTGAGCTGGAGGGCTTTAAGAACACTTACTGCTGAGGCCAGACCAAGTTAAAGTGGGTGGCTAGGTGGTGGTGCAGGGCAGAGTGAAGGAGGAAGGTGATAGTTCTGGGAAGAAGCTAAACCCCTCTCTGATGAAGCATAAACTACTTTGCTTTATGATAATGTGCTCTGTCCTTGGTGTCTTTTAAACTCCCTCTGGCACCCCAGCATGCACTCCTGCCCCTTGGAGCTGCTTGGGAGGGAAGGGTGCAGTCACACAAATTTCACTCTAGCCCTGATTCTGTTGTCTGACTTAATTGTTTCTTTGTTTTGAGCCTGTGCGTGTGGAATATAATTGTGCCAGAAGACAAGATTATATTGATACAGTTCACCAGATTAGACCTAGAGAGCCAGATCACGTGTGACCATGACTACGTGTCCTTCTATTCGGACAAAAGAGAGCTAATTGGTACGTAGAATGCCTTAATCTCTTATATCAATACTTGGCATGGTGGGCAATTAGCAATCTGAAACGTGAACATTGATGACGTTCGAGCCCTTTCGTGTCTTATTAAAAATCAAGGAACCTTTCACTGTCATCTGCCCTGCAGGGCCGGCTCCAGCTTGGCAAGCAGGTGCTTGGGGTGGGCACTCCGGAGAGGGGCGGCAGGTCCAGCTATTCGGCGGCAATTCGGTGGATGGTCCCTCACTGCCGCTCGGAGCGAAGGACCTCCCGCCGAATTGCCGCTGCAGATCGCGATTGCGGCTTTTTTTTTTTTTTGGCTGCTTGGGCCGGCCAAAACCCTGGAGCCGGCCCTGCTGCCCTGGCACTGAAGCTGTCAAAGCAAAGCTAAGTAAGGGAGGTGGGGGGAGGGGGAGAGGTAGATATTCATGTCCATTCTGACTGCTAGTGCGCGACTATAGACTTTTTTTTTTACACAGACAGTTTTCAGACTTTCTCGACCGTGTTTTTCAAACTCCTATTTCTGCCTTGTATAAAAAACAAGTTTTCACTCCTACTAGCCCCATATAGCTGAACTGTCATCTAATTGGCCTCGTACATCAACAAAACTGCCAGCCAGTTTCTGATGCTGGAGTCCTTACTGAAGGATGGTCAATGACAATGGTACAACACAAAACATGCAAGATAAAGACATAATTCTGCCTATCTGAAAAATCTTGTTGACTCAGACTTTTTACTTATACAGCACAATAAATGTCTGTTTTATGGATAAATAATGACGGGACTTTTCCCTTGCAGTCTAAATTTATTATCCATTCTTGAGACTGAATTGCCAAAGAATAAATATTTCATGCAAATCTTTGCTCCTTCTGTACTCTGAACAGTACTAGTGGCTATGTGCCAGTACTAGCCCACCATGAAACCTTGAGCTGAATCGCCTCTGTGGTTGTTTTGGATGCAGTTCTGTCTCCAAACATTTTACCTTATAGGCAACTGAAACTGATGCTGGAGTAGTCTTTGCAGAGTCTGCCCTGGAATACGTGACTTTCCAATATTGTATACAGTTTAGTGAATCTGAAAAAGTAAGCTGTCTGACAAAGTGTGTGTGTATGCTACCACCCTAAACAATAAGTCTAATCTTTTCCCTGTAGGTAAAATCTGTGGGGATGTGTTACCAACCCCCCTGCTGATAGACTCTAACCGAGCAATGGTTACTCTCGTTTCTGATGGAAGCAACACCGGCAGTGGCTTTGAATTCACCTTCACAGCTATACATAAGGAATCGGAAGCAGGTGACTTCAGACATACCATTTGTACATACTTCTCTGCCACCTGACCCCCTTTAAAACCAAAGAAACCATCCCTGGTGCACGTGGTGGTAGTAGGTTGGTTTGTTTGTTTGTTTTTGTTTTGTTTTTTTAACTTAGCTATTAAATCTGACTTTTTCTTCTTAACCCAATATGATAGGTTCTGGTTGTGGAAGTGTTGCAGTGCTGGTGGAAGAGGGAAAGATTGATACTGCTAATTACCCTGGCTTGTATCCCAGTAACGTGAAGTGCCATTGGTTCATTGAAGCCCCAGTAGAGAATGTCATAAAGGTAATCATAGAAGATTAGGGTTGGAAGAGATCTCAGGAGGTCATCTAGTCCAACCCCCTGCTCAAAGCAGGGCCAACCCCAACCATCTCCCCAGTGAAGGGAGATGCTGCTTTTAAACCTCTGCCATTGACTGCTCAGGGAAGCAATTCAATAAAATCCTGCTGGAAACATCTACAATGCACAAGCTTAGGCTTCTCACAGGGTGTGTTTTAACCAGTTTAGATGGTGTGTATAGCCCTGTATGAACTGGCATACTGAACTGCTGCTGCTGTAGATGCTTGAAGCTGGTTGGTATCAGCCCTTCCAATTAATGTAACTGCATCTTGGGCAGGGGTGGCTCTAGCTTTTTTTGCCGCCCCAAGCACGGCAGGCAGGCTGCCTTTGGCAGGTCTCCGGTCCCGCGGATTCGGTGGCATGCCTGCGGGAGGTCTGCAGATTCGGCGTACCCGCCGCCGAATTACCACCTAATCTGCAGAACCGGCGGACCTCCCGCAGGCATGCTGCCGAAGGCTGCCGGACTGCCACCCTCGCAGGGACCAGCAGGCCGCCCCCTTTGGCTTGCTGCCCGAGGCATGCACTTGGAGCGCTGGTTCCTGGAGCTGCCGCTGATCTTGGGAAAGATAGTGCAAGGTTTCAGTAGGGCGGGGTGGGGGTGTGGAGGACAGAACCTGACCACCTGCCCTCCTTGCTCCTTATCTAGTCCCCTTCTTCCACCAGAATGTTAAACATGCAGAAATGGTACTGAGCTAAGCAAGCAGTAGCTAGGACCGACGCATGTGATGACTGTTCCTATTGGGGGTGCTGGAAGTGACATTTTGCTGTTGCGGTTTGATGCCTGCCCTTCCTCCTGTTGTCATTGCAATTGTGCCAGCTAAAGTGAGGTTACCTGTTGGATTAACCTTACCCAAAGATAAAAATAAAGCTACTATATTGTACCGTCCAAGGCAATGTCTGTCCCCTGCTGCCTTTGTGTAAAAGCAAAGAATCATTAAACCCAAGTCTGTCTAAGTGCATGCAGGTTTGTTGCTCCTGGGCTGGCCTCTCACTAATGCTCATACAGTTCTGTAATCTGCTGTCTGTATTAAGACCCTGAATACACATGCTTGGGGTTTTTATACAGGCAACGCTATTGTTGCTGCTGAGCGTTTCAGAATCAAACGACAGCCAACCGTGGTTTGGATTCCTAAAGGGTCATTGTGATGATAATGTGATCGTTTTAAAGAGAAAATGTAGGCTTTGATTTAAAAACTTTTTTTTTAAAAAATGACAATTTCTATTTAAACTCACCTCTGTGGTTCAGCCGCCGCAAACTCGTCAGCTTTTAGCTGATCACGGAAAGCAACACTGGCCAGAAAGGGACAAGCTTAGTTCCACTGCATGGTGGGTCAGCTCCACTACAAGAGGTGCTCAAAGTAAACTTTGATAGATTTAAAGAGCCCATGCATCTTTTCACCTTCGTTTGAGGTGCACTAGGAACAGGCTCTATAGCTGTTACTCAAATCTTGGCAATGACTAAGACTCCGAGTTAAATTTAGAGTTCATGTTTTGCTTACAAAGGGGGTAAAAAGAGAGACCCCCAGTTATTAATTTTGTCTCTCTTCTCTTTCCAGCTGGAATTTGAAGACTTTGCTGTTGAATTCAGCGAGGGCTGTATCTATGATGCAATTGTCATTTACAGTGACACACAAGATGAGCACCAGCTGGGTATTCGTTCAATCTCACATGTAGAATCCATTACAGAAATGAAGACTTAAATAGCTTGCTGCCAAAAGAGTACAAGCTACATTAGTGACCCTTCGGTGGTAGAATTAAACCACTTTAGTCAGAAAATGCAAAATTAAGGTTCCTACAACCGCCTTAACTCCGCCTCCTTGCACATCTCAGTACAGCAGGGTGTTCCAGTGCCATCGTGGTTCCCAAACCATTGGAGTTCTTGCTGGTGGACTGCAGAGATCTGACTAGTCATGCTGGGCTTAATCCTGCCAGGGGCTGAGCACTGTGTTGCTGATCCAACAAAGCACTGAAGTATGTGCTCCCGTGCTCTGTGGGATGGGGACCGAGTGCTTGGCACCTTGCAGTCCATAGTGCTGGTTCTCCACTTTGTTTCTAGCTGCTTTGTTGAATTCAAAGAAGGTAAAAATTAAAGCTGGTCAGGGAGACTTTGACAGGGCCATAGTCTGCTGGACTATGCAGGTCTGTCAAAATTGAAACACTTCATGAAATCTAACCAATTTTGCTGGACTCTGTTTCATAACAAAATCGGGGGCATATGGGGGGGGCAAATCTACCAATGTCGAAATGAAACATTTTGTTTACAAACATCTTTTTGTTTAGAATCTTGATTTTATATGATATAAAATTCTAAAAGTCTCTAAATCAATGTAATACCTACCTTATCTTTCAGGGTGAAATGTGAAGGGATATAATTTATTGAACCAACTTCTGTTGGTGAAAGAGAGAAGCTTTCAAGTTACACAGAGCTCTTCAGGTGGAAAGCATCTCTTTTTCTCCAATAAAAGATACTATCTCACCCATCTTGGTCCCAAGATAGCGGAGAGACAACACAGCTGTAACAATACCGCAAACAACATTTCACACTCAAATTTTCAGTTCGGAATATTCCCTTGAGAATTTTGAAATTTGGGGCTTTTGTTCCAAGTAGAAATGAAGCCAGACTTCAAAATAGCAATCCTTTGTGACATGGAACTTCTTTCCTCCACACAGTGTGAGTTAAAACACAATTCACTGAATCACATTTCCATTTTGAAGAAAAATAACTCTGTACTCAAAGTGGGAGACGCTTATTACAAAATTTCAGGACAACTGTTGGACAGCAGACTTAAGGGGGAGGAGGGGAAACCAGTACAATGTGGAGGAATGAGAGGCAAGAAATTCTGAATTCTGATCCTGGCTTTGACACTTGGCTTTGGCCAAGCCACTTCCCTTCTGTTTGTCCATCTGCAAGCTGATGGTCATCGTACTTCATGTCTTTAATGTGATGTATAAGGGTTTTTAAAAAATAAATATTAGCAGTAGAGTGGACCAGAAAACAGACGTTAGTTACTACAAAAAAATTGTGAACTCTTGAAAATGTTTTCATTCAGAATCAGGACAAAGTCACAGATTCAAATAAATTTTTATGGGAGCTAAATTCCACATTTTTTTTTTAAAGTCCATTTGGGAAGAACCAAAACAGAACTTTTCAGCTTTTTCTCTAGACTGCCAGTCTCCTCCTACAGTGATCCTCGCAGCTCAAAGAGCTCTCATTTAGATTTTCCTAAGGAAAATCCAAATTTTCCAGCAACATTTTTTGTTTTTGTTTTTTTTTTAATTTAATTTATTTTTTTCAGAATCCACATGTTCTGTTGGAATATCATTCTGGTGGAAAATTTCCAAGCAGCCGGGCAGTAGGGAGACTGAGTGCTTTATATAGGCAGAGAGAGCGAGAAGGGGAGCTGCCAGTTCTGCTCCAGATCCTCAAACCTGCACACACACGTCAGCCACCATTTTAAGAGGCATTGAATGCCCATCGTATATAGATGGCAAATGCAACTCTTTTAAGAGGCTCTCTTGGTGGGAGGCACTCATGCAGCTAACTTGTTTTTTGTTAATTTTTCCACTATAGGAACTAAACTAGAATGTTGTCTCATTCCTGAGAGTACATAGTAGCTTAATTTAGGCCACTACTTCCTTCTCCTTGGATACCCTTCGATTGGGCCTGGCCAAAGTGTTTGTTTCAAATTAAAAAAAAAAATGTCCCCCACAAAATGGCTTTTTGAGCCAAGTGAAAATGACAAGTCCCTGTTTGGTTTTTCCCTCCTGTGGACAAAGTTTAGCAAAGCTGGAGATGAGTTTAAAGTGATATTCTGAATTTTAAAAGCATGGGGGTTTCCTTGCTTTTTCTTACAGCCAATCTGTGTGGGTTCTCAACCCCCAGCCCAATTCTGAGCCCTGGCAATGAAATGTTGATACATTTTGAAAGCGATGGTGAGAACAACTTCAGAGGGTTTAAGGCCAGATTCACCTTTGTTCCTTCAGGTTGGTGGAAAGACCTTTGGTATGTGTTCTGAACTCTTGATCTTAGTTTTGAAATAATCCCCTATCACTATACTGGGGCAGTTCAAGATGGAACAGGTTCTACTGGGAGAATTCAGTTCTTTCAACAATGGTAAGGAATCAGAATTCCCACACTGGGAACACCGACAGGACACTGACACTTTTTTGATACCTGAAACTTGCAGACTCTGTGGCATTCTGAACTACTTCTAGAAGTATCCCATCCAGGGACTGCTGCCCTATTACAGCAGTGGGCATGGGAAATTGAGGTAACAGTAGGGTTACCATATTTCAGCAAGCAAAAAAGAGGACGGGAGGAGCCCCGCCCTAGCCCCGCCCCTGCCCCTCCCACTTCCCGCCCCCCCAGAACCCCCAACCCTCCCCCCGTTCCTTGTCCCCTGACTGCCCCCTCCTGGGACCCCTGCCCCTAACTGCCCCCCAGGACTCCACTCCCTATCTAA